CCCCCCCCCCCCCCCCCGTTTAACTTGAAAGTAGCATAAAGCCCCTTATAGGCAGGACAAGGAAACACCCATGAAATAGTTTAACTTGAAAGTAGCATAGAGCAAATTACAAAACCTATTACTACTAGTAAATCACAAATTTTAGCAATTCTTTTAGCGCCAAAACCAGAAGTTTTAAAATACATAAAAATGAAATTTCAAGTTCAAAAAAATGGAAGTGAAAGACTAACCTTCTCACCTCTCTCGATATACTTAACAGCAACAAGCTCATTAGTTTGTCTGTCCCTCATAAGCCTTGCCACTCCAAAATTCCCAGAACCAATATCCTTTACAAGATCGTATCTATCACTATCGTGCATGATCGGCACGTCCATTCCTGCTCCTACTGTCATTGCCACCCGATCCATAAAGCTCTCCTTCTTAACTTCAACAAGCTAAGCTACTTCTGCCATTTTATTAACTAAAACCCCACAATCACCAAAGAAAATAAAACCCTAATCTTAAATCAAACGAAAAAGAACCCACCAACAAAAATTATAGAACTAGAAATGCTACCTACGTGGAGGAAGATGAATCACAAGATTGAGTATCGTTGGTAGTTGAAGAAAGACAGGGACGGCAACAACAACAAGTGATGATGGATGAGCTCAAATCCCGTGAAATCTGTACTTACTACAGCGAAGTAAATGGTCAGATTACACTTCTGTTTAGCATTTTGATTTAGCAGACGTATTAATTCTGCTATAGTATAGTGTCTTTGTGTGTGTGTTTGTGTGTTTATAGAGAAAGAACAGAGGAGCTCGTGAAGTGAGCTACTTTTCTTCTTTCTTTATTTTTGTTTTTTCAGCTACTTCTTCTTTGGCCTTCCAGAATACACACGCAGATATATTATTTTACTCTCTCTTTCTTTCTTTTTTCTTTTTTTTTTTTTAACTTTCTTTTTATTTTTCTTATTTTTAACTTTCTTTTTGTTGGTAGTAATAATAATAATAAACTTAAGAAAAGCTAGCTGCGAAGTTCTCCAATTATTGGCACTAAGGGGTCGTTTCCTAAGGGCGTACAAGAATAATACGAAATATAATGTGTTAGTAATAATGAGATTAGTAATACTATATTGCATAATTTTTTTAAATATATTTATTTATAAAATATCTTCTATATTCATTAGTTTTGTATTTGGAAAAAGTTTTTAAAAGATAGTTTTGTCCTTATATATGGTTATCATGTATTAAAAACCATGATATTTTTACTGTTATATTTTGCTATGTACGAATAGCACTGAATATGGTGTATACCTAATATATTTGTATTAGTTATACATATATTGAAAAATACTGCTATCAAACAAGAAATTAATAATACCAAAACTAATACATATATTATTTTTCCCAATACATCCTGCCAAACAACCCCTATGACTATGGAGAGTATCATTTCAAAGTTTAAGATTTAGGGGTCGTTTGGCCATACAAAAAATTTCACCTTTTTTCAAAAGAAATCACTTTTTTCGAAATTGACGTTTGGCCATGAAATCTTTAATTTTCACTTGAAGATGAATTTCAAATTTTTTCGAAAAATTGAAAAACTCCAAAAGGATGTTTTTCAAAATTTTCACTTTAAATCACTCACAAAAATTCTAAAACAACACAAAATTGTATTCATGTCCAAACACAATTCTAACTTTCAAACATCATTTTCATTTGAAATTTTTTTTCACTTTTTTTTCGGAATTTTACAATTCTTATGTCCAAACGCCCACTAAAATACTTTTTCCAATAAAATTTTGATAAAGCTTGAATAAGAACAGTATAGACAAAAATAATAAACATTAGAAGGTAGCAAATACTTATAGTAAAATAGTTTAGGTGCACGGCCACCTTTATCAAAATACAAAGCTTGAGTGCGAGAGCTAATATATGTGATTTTGGCTCTAAATTCAAACATTAATTTTCATCTTAGAGTATAGAACTACATTTTTATAATTCCTTTCCCCCTTTTCCTTCCTTTTGTGTCTCTCTCTCTCTTTGTTTTGTTTTTTTTTTCTCTCCTTTTCTTTTGTGTTTAAAAAACTACTAATGGGGAGCCTTACAATTAAAAAAAAATAAAAGTTCTAAATTAAATTAGTTGTTTTATACTTGTGGAAGGCTGAGAACTTAGTGGTCAAGCGATCATAGTATCCATGTCAAAAATATTCTAAAAAGATATTTAAAGCAATGTCTTGTAATTTTATTATAGCAATAAAAAATGTGACAAGATCTTTCTTAGTCTTCCTTCCCTATGGAATGAGCACAACAAGGTGCTAATACCACCATTGAGAAGAAAAAGGAACTAATCAAGATGTGCCAAAATACAAGTTATATAATACATATACTAATTTTCGTTTATACAAGTTACATGCTATCTCTTACAAACTTCATATATCCTTCAAGGTCCGGAGGAATTTCTGTTGGTAGTGGCGGAAAGTAGCTTGGTCATCGACGCTTCCATTGTCAGGGAAAGCAACATCCTCCGCAAGTTAAGCTAGCATTTCTTCGTAAGCTTCGTCTTCCTTTGGTTGTGATTCAGCAAGTCCAAAATTTCTTCTTTCCGAATGGATCCAATCTCTAAAAACTACTGATTTTTTCAAGCTATCCCTCATAGACACTCTATAATCACCGATTTGAAGTCTTGCTTGACTGAAAGCGCTCTCCGATGCCACTGTTGAAGCTTGAATAGTTAAAATATTTCGGGTTATCCTTGAAAGAGCCGGAAAATATTTTTCTTTGTCCTTCCACTATTGCAAAATATTAAAGGAGCCGTCTCGATTCACTTCCTCAAGTTGCTGCGACAAATAAACTTCAAGCTCATTTGGTTGTTAAAAATTATTACTACTAGAACCAAAAGAAGCCCTAAACCACGCCCAAGCACTAAGTCCTCTTACTCCCGCAGTTCTTTTAGAAGATTGAGAATCAGAAGAAGAAGGAGTTGGAACATTTGGTCTAGCATGATTTAATGCAACTTGATAAGCATTATAAATAGTTTGAGCATTTATTCTAATTGAGGCTATTGCTTCCGGAAGTTTAGGCAACTCATTATCTTCAAGTGCTAAACCATTATAAATAGTTTCATACCAAAATTGAGAACCTCCTAATTTTATACAAGGATTTAATAAAGCAGTAACACCATAAATATGGGAATAAGAAAAAAATATTTTTTAAACCTTTTTCTCGTAGAATCAATAGCAAGTTGATAATTCTTTCCGATATTTTTTGGACCATCTATATACTATATATATATATAAGTACGAAGGCCCTTAGCGAAATGTCGTTCGCCTTTTTTATCCTTCATAAGTGCACTCTATAATGGATAAAATTGTAAATACAAGTAAATGACTTTTTAAAAAAGAAAAAAATAGGAAGAAGAGAAGAAGTAGGACACGCATTTAATTATTATCCCTAATAAAATCTAACAAAGAGTGTAAAGTCAAAATCTTCGTAGGTTAAAAACTGGAAAAAGAATTAGACAATAAGTAGGAGTATAATCTAACAAAGAGTATAATGTCAAAATCTTTGTAGGTTAACAACGGAAAAAAAAATTAGACAATAAGTAGGAGACCCATTATTTAATATCCTATTAAAGAGATCAATTTTTCTGCAGTTAAAAAAAATGAAAATTTGAGATAAAGTTTCTAACTTTTAGATTGTTCTGATAGTTTTGTGATAATAAATGTCTTCAAAATTTTTGTAATGTCAAAAGTTCTTGTGATTTTTTACGTAGCGATCGAGCTATCATTTTAACTCCGTAATTATCAGCTGAATAATATTCTTATAGTTTTTTATAAGTATTATTATATTATAAATGTGTATTCTATATATTACATCTATTACCTGAGAACATGTAATTTGTTATTTTGAGAAAAAAGTTCTAACGAAGAAAAATAGAAACACGAAACTTACATATTTATGAGTAATCTAACATCATATAGAAAGTAAAGATATGACAAATTACAATTGATAGTGTGCATGGCTAAAAACTACCGAGAAGATGAAAGTGGCCGTATTCTTGGAGATGCAAGGAATATGAATATCACTATAAAATTATAGTTTTGGAATATAAATTCAGTTAATTGCTACGGATTTAAAATATATCGTATGCACCTTAGTGCTACATCATGATTTTTCGATTTAATCTCATTGATAATGTTTGGCACTTGTCTCTCCAACATAGAACTTGTTTGGCCAAATTTTTAAAATTTATTTATTCCTTTAGTTATTTTACAATTGCTATAGAATTCTTATTAATTTAAAAAATAGAATAATTTACATTTTGCTTGTGAGAAAAAAGAAGAAGGTCTTTTGTCAGTTAGATGATCCTATAAGTATTTTCTAGAATGAACTTAAAAATCTATACTTCTCAAAAATATTTTAGAAAAAATTCTTAAATCTTCATAAGGTGGGCTGCACTGATGGTAAGCACCCTCTACTTCCAACCAAGAGGTTATGAGTTCGAGTCACCCCAAGAGCAAAGGTGAGGAGTTCTTGGAGGGAAGGATGCCGGGGGTCTATTTGGAAACAGCCTCTCTACCTCAGGTAGGGGTAAGGTCTGCGTACACACTACCCTCCACATACCCCACTTGTGGGATTATACTGGGTTGTTGTTGTTGTCTTAAATCTTCACAAGTTTATGTGTTCTTGATGGAAAAAAATTCGCCAACTTGGGAAGTTCTAGCAATGAATAAATCTTTAGCTGAAAATATTGATTAAGATGATGCAGGACTTCTATTATCAATATTCTTCATTTATCGAGTTGCTAAATTAGATCAACAATCATCATTTTCAAGAACTCATATTTTTTAAAACTTATTTTACAACTCAAATATAATTAGCTAATATAGTATTTATGTATTTTATTAAAATTATATATTTAAAGGCAAACATATATTTTCACCCGAACCTTTTTTCAAGCCTTTCTCGTTTTAAGGTTCCTCTGAAACCCTAGCTATTCGAGGTTTTCTCTGATTTTTCTTAGATCTGTTACACAACTGTGCTCTACTTGAGTTTTTAAACATTTTTCCCAATTTTTCTTCCAAAAATTACATCTTTCCGATTTAGGGTTTCTGAAAAGTTCAAAATGTTTCTCTGACTTTTCTTCTTCTTTTCTTTGTGTGTATTTGTCTATACTATGTTCTTATGTATTCTTTTCTACCACGCATGTTCTTCTACTGTGTTCTTATGTTTGCCTTTATCATGTATGTTCTTCTACTGTGCTCCGTTCTTTCTTCTACTGTGTTTCTATATCATGCTCTCACATGTTTATGTTGCTATGTTTCCCTATGTGTTCTTTTGCTAGGCTTCTCCGATATCCTTGTGTTCCTCTACTGTATTTTCTACTGAGTTTTTTGGTTCTTTGTTTGCCTTCTACTGGACCTTGTTTGAGTTCCCTTTAAACATGTTTCCTCTACTATTTTCTTAAGTGTTATACTACCTCTCTTTCTCTTCTGAACTTGTTTAAGTCCCAGGTTTTTCTTAAACATGTTCCTTCTACCTCACTATGCTTCAAATCAGTTTCTTCACTCTGTTTGCTTCGAACTTGCTATTGTATCTGTTTGTTTTCTCATGAGTCTCTGAAAGAGATCTCTGAGCCTGTTTTAATTACTTGCCTCCTCGTCTCTGTATCTGATTCGAAGTAGAAACCCTAGAATTTGAGGGTTTTGACGAGGTTGATATTGTGTTTGGACTAGGGTTCTATTTTGGAACCGTTGACTCTCTCAGACTCATTCTGAGTTTGAACTTCTTTGTTTATGACTCTGAACTTTTTCTATGCTAGACTCTTCTGCTGATTAGCATGATAGTTATTCGTGCTTAAGCATGGCTGTATGTTT